TTTTTTTTCTTTTCTGCATATGATATTTCATTTCACAAAACAGAATTTTAGGAGAAAACTGTCTTGCCAGAAACTCTTTAATATGCATTCAAGCTAAAATTATACAAACAGACTGAAATTTTGGTGTGTATCTCAGCCACTGTGCCCTCTCTCAGTATGATGACCTGCAGGTGACCGTGTCATCTGCTGTGTGTAAGATGGAGAGCCAGAGCCTTATTGCATTTGGGGGCCTCCCTGTCCCTGTGCAAAAGCTGCAGCCATAGAAATCTGAGGCTGAGCAAGTTGTTTACATAAGTGTGTGCTTTTGCATGATAAACACTGCCTTTTGGTCCACTGATTCATAGTGGTGTTTTCTTGGCATCTTGGTCAAGCAATATGTGTAAATGTGGCTGCTGAAGACTACTGAGCACTAGGTGTGTCTGGCTCTGATAAGATGCTCCTTTATTTTCTATTCTGGCTCAGGCTTTATTTCCCACCCCAAGGCATATCTGCAAGCTGTCATAATATAAATTCCTGTCATTTTTCCCAGTGGAGACCACAGCCACTAACTAAAAAGGTCCCAGGCAGTACATTCTAACTATGGTGGCTTTACTACTATATAAGGCATATCCCTAACCACTCGTGCAACTCACTCCTGGCTTCAGAAGGGCCCAGAGATTTGGCCCAAAGATGCTGCTAAACATCCCATAATGCACAGGATGGGACTTGCATTCGTGGCATATTCTTTGCCCACATGCTGTAGAGCGTTCTGGTTCTCAGGCATGCTTATGGACTTGTAGGAGCAGGATCTGTGGCTCCAAGGGGACAAAGATGACCTACAGGGTCCTTTTGGGGAACTATGGCTTTGTAGGTACACAAGGAGGCAAGGAACTGTCCAGTGCGGTTTCCCACTCAGAGATCATCAAAGGAGGGATTTTATTTAGCGAAGTTCATAAAAGTTTTTGCAGGAACAGGTCTTTGGTAAGTTGCTTGGCCTGTTCTATATATACATCAAGATGATTAAGAGAAAATATTCTTACTCTGGCAGACTCAGCTAGATTTCCAAAGCATTTGGATTAAGATCACATAGAACCAAAATGCAGGCCAGAAACCTGGCACAGACCCAGTTCACCCCATTCCTGTTTGGTAGGAGATTTTAAGGAGAATTGAAGATTTATTAGGGAAATCACAAGGAATGCAATAATGTCATTCCCCATTTAAACAGTAATGCTATCTACTGAGAGTTAGCTGTCTAAGAAGGTAACCCAATAATCTGCCACTGGAGAGAATCTTGTTTTCCATTCCCCAAATACAAATTTATAAAGATGTAGACAGTAGTTCTCAACCAAGCATGATCTTCACTGCCCAGGGGACACACCACAATGTCACCATTTAGGAAGTGTTCTATTGGTATCTGGTGGGCAGAGGCTAGAGATGCTGGCTAACATCTCATTATGCACAAGAAGTTGTCTCTGCCCAGCTACCCTCCAAAATAGTGCTGAGCTTGAGAAACCCTGATGTGGATAGTTATCACCCCCTTTCCTCCTGAAGGCCAAATGTAGCTCTGAGGCACAAAAACCTTCTTCCCCGACAACCCACCTCCTCATTCTCACCAGTCCTTTTCTTGGTGAATCAGAGCATTCCACGAAAGCCTCACGCATTCATCACACTCACCTTCCCCTGCTGGTCTGTTTTGATCTCCCAGCCTCGGGGCAGTTCCAGCCGAGTGTCTGCGAACATGTTGATGAAATTCACCAAGTCCCGATTGTGCTGGTAGCGTTCAAAATTGCGAGCATCTCTTCGGACTTTCAGAATCATGTGCTTTAAGCAGGTGCTACTGGTGAAGACTCGGTAGGCACTCTGAGACAGGTTCAGGGAGAATGGGAGTCGAGARTGGGAAATTTGGAAAAACAGACTGAGTACACTTGGAGCATTTAAACATGACGTAATGTGATTGCTACACAGCAATTTATAGTGAGCTTGAGATAGAGGCCTCAGAAGCAGAGTTCTTGCCTAAGAAGTAATCGTGCATTGATTATTAACACACATATATCATTCTAATTCTACCCAACTCTTGGCAGCCTTGGACAGTCATGTAAAGCTCCCTCACACCTTCTTCTACCTCTCTGAGCTTCACTCCTGTCCCCTCATGTCCCTTCTCTGACAGTACAAGTCTGCCTTTCTTCTTATCTAACAAAGGGTAGTAATTTAGGATCTGTGGGGACTTCAGGCTGGACTACAGAAGTGTCTCAGTCCTTCGAATCCTATGTAAAACTTTGTGTGTGTAGAGATCAGGGGATGAGAGGAAACAAAGAATGTTTTAGGAATTTCTAAATATGCCAAATGACAATTTTATGGAACATAGGGCTGGTGTGTGTGTGTGTGTGTGTGTGTGTGTGTGTGTGCGCGTGCTTATGTGTGTGCAGTAAAAGAATAGACTCTGTGGAAACCAGAGAGGCTGACCCACCAACAAGGTGAGTTCACACTCACCTTGTGCCCAGCCCTGAGTGCCAGGGCATCAGTATCTGCCATACTTATTCTCCATTTGTGTCTCTCCAATGCAGCACTGGGAATCTGCTCTGTATCCAACCAGTGGTCCCCCTTTTCCCAAGCCAGAACTGAGATAACCTCATCAAATTATGGCTCTTGCCTTATGGAATCATTATCATCTAAATTCAGGCACCCAAAGTGGAAACTGCTGTTTTGAAACTAGTCTTTTGTTTTTTTTTTTTTGGGGGGGTGTGTGGATACTGGAGATTGAACTCAGGAGTACTCAATCACTGAGCCACATCCCCAGCCCTATTTTGTATTTTATTGAGATACAGGGTTGCTTAGCGCCTCACTTTTGCTGAGGCTGGCTTTAAACTGGCAATCTTCTTGCCTCAGCCTCCCGAGCCGCTGGAATTACAGGTGTATGCCACCACACCTGGCTCAGTCTTTCTTAATTCCTCATCTTCATTCCACCCACAACCACAGGGGACTCAAAGTCAATTGATTCCCTGAGAAATCTCTCTGAAGGCAGTTATTCCTTGCCATGCTCCCAGCCACTTCCTTAGGTTGGGCCTCCATCATCTCTCCCTTGAGCAGTTGAATTGGCCTCTAGTCTTGGCCCCTCAGTCTTTCCCTGTGCTCTGTTGCCAGAGAGAATGCTTCATCAACTGTGTGGTTACGAAGCCTCAATGCCTAAGAGCACCGTGGGTTCCTGTTGCCCATTGAAGTAGATCCAGGATCCTTTGCATGGCTTACCAGGAGTCTGCTGATGATTCTCCAGCTCTCTCTCCCTGTCTGTAGCCTCTCCCACTTGGGCCACTCTGGAACCTTTATAGCTGTCCCAAACATACTAATAGAGAACACATTGTCCCTCTGCCTGGACTTCTTCCTAACCACTTTCTGCCTTCCAGATTCAATGCACCTGTCTCCTTCTGCTTCTTTAAGCTCTCCGGGAACTTTGTCTTCTTTCAGTTTGGCCCTGCCCTGTTTTGTTAAGCTGATTACTTTGGATGTCATCATCCCCTAAAAAAGACACCTAGTTCTTATGTGTCACCTTAATCTGTCTTTGTGATTCCAGCACCTAAACTGTGCCTGATCTGCAGTGTTGTTAAATGGGAAATTAACAAATAGAGTGATATTGTGCCATTGTTCTTTTAAAAATACCCTCTAAAAATGCAATGAAAAGGGAGGGGGGGGGATAGTAGACAATAGGACAGACAGCAGAATACATCAGACACTAGAAAGGCAATATGTCAATCAATGGAAGGGTAACTGATGTGATACAGCAATTTGTATACGGGGTAAAAGCGGGAGTTCATAATCCACTTGAATCAAACCGTGTAATATGATGTATTAAGAACTATGTAATGTTATGAACGACCAATAAAAAAAAAAATGCAATGAAAAAAAAGTGCATAATAAAATCACATCCAGTTCAATATTAGCCTGATATTTGAAAAACTGCATCCAAAGGATGTTTTCTACATCTAGGAAAAAAATCTATTTTAAAATTTCTTCAGTGAAAATGATTGCATTAAATAGCTCATAATGAAGGGCATCTATTCATTTCATGTTCTTTTAAAGTTTTAACAATAATAAAAATGAGTATTTGTTTCCAAAGTACTTTCACTGACATGAGCCTAACAAAAAAACTAAAGAAACAACAGTATTTCCAAATCCAGGCTTTTTACTTATTGGGAGACTCACAGTGAAAAGAATATATTGKKTTTTTTCCCCCTCCTTGTATGGTGCAAAATTCTAGTCTTTTGGATCTATCAAATGACTTTACAAAGTTTGTCTGGGGTCTTGATGGAGCCAGGCCAGGCCTCCTCTGCTCTTGGAACACTCACATAATTGGCATGCAGCACAGTGAAGAATTCTGGGTTGGTGATGAACTTGACGGCTGGGGACTGCAGCAGCAAGGTGATTTTTTGTGAGTTAACTGGAGAAAGTGACCCTTCTCTCCTCTGATCTGGAAAAAGTGAAGTAAATCAACAGAATACATTTAGAAAAAAAGTAGTTTCAAACCTGTTTTTTTTTCTTTTCCCACAGCAGTAGCACACAGATCTCTACCTGCACAGCAGAACTTGTTTTGAATAGCAATGTGACCAGGTGTCATACCGGTAAAGCATCCCTTACAGAAATGCTTGGAAACAGAGTGTTTCAAATTTTTTTCCAGATTCAGAATATTTGCAGATCCTTAATGAGATGTCTTGGGGATGGGACCCATGTCTACACATGAAATTCCTTTAAGTTTCATCCACACTGTATACACCGAGACTGAAGTTAATTTTATACATTATTTTTAATAATTTTGTGCATGAATCTGTGTTTCATGGTGTGGAATTTTCCATTTGTGGTATCATGTTGGTGCTCAAAAGGTTTTATTTTTTTTGGAGCATATCAGATTTTGGATTTGGGGATTAGGGATGCTCAACTTGTATCACTTTCTGTAAGCCAGTTAAGAATCATTATTTCCTAGTAGCATTCCTCCATCATTTCAGGTAGGCACAAATCTTCTAACATCTCCTCCCATTTATCCTGATGATTTTTTTCTTATTTTCATTACAAGTTGAAAACCATAGTTTATGACAGATTCTGCAAAAAGGGTCACAATTTTCCCCCTCCTTGTATCTATACCCCTCTGCAAAGGGACTTTGTAGCAATAATCCTTATTAAATTGGATTGGTGTTGGCCTTGTAMCTTGCTTCACTTAGTAGATTGTAGCAGAAGTGACACGTCAGAGTTTCAGAAAGTTCTGTGTGTCTCATATCCCTGCTACCACTAGGAAAACAACTTGAACTAGCCTTCTGAGAGATAAATGATGGGGAATAGAGACAAATCACCCATCTGAGGTCGTCTCACACCAGCCAGCCCACAGCCAATACAACATTTGATCCAAGACATTTATCTGTGTGAGCCCAGCAGCATCCTGAGGACCCACCCAGCTGAGCTTGGCTCACATCGACAACCCACAGAACTGCTAGATGAATGTGTGGTTTCGAGTGTAAACCACTAAATCTGTGGATGGTTTGTTACACAGTAAATGCCAAGTGATCCAATGCCAAACTCAGAAATCAATGTCCTCTTTCTTTTTTCTTCATGTTTCTAATTACTGGATCAGTGTACCACGTCTCTCTCAGAARGCCAAACAATGAAATTAATAACAGAAAAACTCACACTAGTCAGTTTGGTAAGTATGTCTAGAGAATTGAATAGAATGGAAGCAATTAAAATGGTTGCTGAAACTGTATGTGCATTTAGGAGATCACATGAAAATGTCCAACATCCGTGTTGCTGTTGATGGTGGAGAGCTGGCAGGATGGGAATCACAATGTCTGCTTGGTGAGACTCTCTCTGAGCCTTCTTTTGGTGAAGAAAATTGCCATCATTTAACCCATTTCAAAGAGAAAGTGAATTACTTAAGATGCCACTGTGGTAATCTTATATTGTTGTGGGTATAAAAAGTGGAAGCCAGTCTCATGGTTTTTGAATATCCTTGTCTGAGTAGAACTCAATTTGAAGAATAAAAATCAGGAAAACTGGACCCTGAGTGAATGCATACTGTAGTAGATTAAAAAAAAATACTCTTGCATGGTGTACATAACCAGAAACCTGCTAGAAAACCTCTTTCTGCCCAAGTTCTTCCCAGGGGAGAACTGAATTTTCTTCTAAATGCAAAGTAATTGCTCCTAGTGTTGTCACATGGCTCATTTGAAATAGAGTGTGAATTTTTATAGCATGTTTTATTTGTATGTGGAAAACCCTTAGGACACCAACAGATATATTTATTTAACAACAAAGGATTAAGCCACCACAAAAGCTGCCTTGGTACACAAATATTGTGGCAAACTTAACTCTATCCCCTGAATCCATGTGCTTTTGTATCTCACCAGCCATATTGGTGGTATTCTCTTCACTGTGGATCTGTATCTCCTAAGTTTCCTGGAGGGGGAAGCTCCATTGTCTGCTTTACCTTGTTTGCACCATACCTCTTTCTCTTCTACCTTGGTCTTTTGCCCATTCTGTTGCTCTCTTTACCCTAGGACCCATGTCTAACCCATGAGGTATGGTGAAGGACTTGTACACTTCTGTCACACAGCTGTTGGATGCCCCCACTAGTATATGGGRACCCCCATTTCCAATACCTAAGCTTGATTGGGGAGATTCAGCCTCTGAGTCACTCCCTCCACCTCCACCTCCTCCGGCTGGGACTTGCTCACAGCTTTGGCTGCCAGAATCTTCTTCAGATCTTTCTGTTGCAATGGTCCGCTGAATATTTTGATACCTTTGCATTAGAAAATGGAAAGATGGAATTAACTTTTTTTTTCTCCTTGTGGGAGGCCAATGCTCTGAATCAGACAAGAATCTGTAAAGAATTATCTTGAAAGTCAGAAAAGGAAGGCTTAAAATTCCCAAAAGATAGACAAAACAATTAGCAAGAGAAGTATGTCTAGATTATTTGACTTTTTTTTTTTTGAAAGCTAGGCTGAATTTCAAATATGGTGACTTTCAATAATCAACAACAATAAAAAAATAACTAATCATGCAAAATAGCCTGTGAACTGCATCAAACAAAATCAGGCTTAGTCTTAAATAAGGGTATGGGAAACAAATTAAAATGTTACAACTAAGGTATGGAACTATCACCACATTACTTTAATAGGCCTACAAAAAGGAATAATTGTTGCACCATATCTCTTTCTCCTTTACCTTGGTCTTTTGCCCATTCTATTGCTCTCTTTACCCTAGGACCCATGTCTAACCCACGAGGTATGGTGAAGAACTACTATTGGACAGCTACTTGATATGACTGGGTAGAGGTCACAGAAATATTGTAAAATATAATAATATAGTTTAAAAGCATCCTGGCAGACAAATAAATATTTGCTGCTTATTTAAAGCCTCATTTTTCTTCCTAAGTTGGGGATTGAGTCAGTTGGCTGACCAGTCAGTCACTTTCTCAGGTAATACATATTTATCAGCCCTCTGACCAYGTGCATGTTTTGTTCTGAGCTTTCAGATCAGAGAGGATTAGAATATGACTTTGTCCTTGGAACATACAGTTGAGATGCAGCAAAGCAGGGAATGGCATGTAAAACACAACTCTAGCAATGTGAAAGTCAGTCCAGGTCATGTTAGAGACATGTGGGAACACACAAGGAGATCCTAAGGTAGGTAAAAGCTGGAGTATGAACTTATGGGGGAGCKTATTGAGCAGAAACATTTTCAGAAGGGAAAGCAACACGTGTGAAAGCAGGGTCCCCTGGGAGAGCTCTGGAAAACTTAGGGGTGGCATCAGGATGCATGGGCACCTGTTGGTGAGAGGAGACCAACAGAGAGGAAGGCAGGGATCATCTGAAGGATGCCCCAGCAGCAGTTTGGGTCATAGGCCTCCTAATCTGAGGAACATCAGAATATACCTTGTAGGACTTGTTAAAACACAGGTTTCTGGGCCTTATCCCCAGAGTCTATGATTTGGTAGATCTGGGGTAGGACCTAAGAATTTGCATTTCACCTAGTGCCCAGGTGGTCCTGATGCTGATGTTCTAGGGGTTAACTTTGAACACCATTGCTCTTGATCCTAAGTAGCAACTGAAAAAGAGAGACAGGGCCAGATGAACGCTTAGAATGATCAGCCAACACTGGTGTAGAGAATGGGTGCAGGAGAAGAGCCTGAAGTCAGCGAGAGTAGTCTGAGAGCTACTGCAACAGTCTGGGATGGAGATGCCAAAGGCCACCTCAGGCAGGAATAGTAGGTCATGCTGCTGGGGTGAGGGGAAATACCCACATATTTCAGGGATCTCAAGATAGGCTCTATCTTCCAGCAGAATTCTCAGAAATTTTCTACACCTCCCTGCCCTTGATAGCCTGCTATGTCTGCTTCATGTTATCTTTTAAGCAGATGCCCAGTTATTTATTTCCTGTCTGCTCCACTCTACATGCCTCAACCCAAGTAGCCTCCTTCCTTTCCCCATACTACTTCTGTTTTATTTAATGCCTCTCAATTAAAGTAACATGACCAGGACCCATATTTACTTCTCCTCAAGGCAGGGATGGAAGAAGGAAGACACATTTAGCAGAATTYGTAATAATTTTGTAGTTAGTCTCAATAGGATTTGTGGCTTCACTGGATATGGGGATGGAAGAGGAGGAAGGAGACTATTGTGACCAGGTAKCTGGAGGTAGCAACACTGAAAGTCAGTGTTAAAAGGATGGATGGATCAGGGGAGATATTTGTTGGATTTGGATATGCTGATTTGRAGGTCCTTAAGGTCATGCAAGTCACACTATCCAAAGGGATGTTGCTTATATGGGTCTTGTGCTTAGGAAAGTGAGGAGTGAGTGGAGAGAGGGGGGCAAAGAGGAGGAAGAAGAGAATAGTATGGTAACCAGGAATAACCAGGTCTCCAAGTGCAATCCAAGATCAAACAAAGGAGGTACCCAGCATTGCACAGATGTGGTTCTATTGTGACAAGCTTCTGAAGCCAGTGCTTCATTCTTTCCTTGAGCTGACAGAGGAAGCCTTCCTCAGTGTGGTATCTAGACCACTTGCAAGAGAATCATCTGGGTGATTGTCAAYGTTACAGAAACTGAAGCAAAATTAAAACCTGAGCTTCCAAGATGCTCTTCAATTAGTATTATGTACATCTAGGTTTGGAATCACTGATCTAAGCGATTTTTTCACATTTTATTTTATCTAGAGAGATTCTACTACTTACTTTGATAGCTGACAGGAGATACCTTTCTTTTCCTGTAGCAGTTACTGAGAGACACTTTCTGAGAAGATCTTTTAAAACGAAATGTGGAAGAGAGAGGRATGAACAGAGTGATCTAACTATAGAAATATTTGGGTTTGTTTACCACCTCAACATGTCTCTGGCAGGGAGGGTTGGAGAAGGAGAAAGATAGCCTTCTATAATCCCCCTCCTGCACCTCAGGGAATACAGCCCTGCAGGAGGGCAAAGTGGCTAATGAGAAGCTTCTGAAGTCTGAAACCTTGACTGAGGGGAGAATAGGGCCTTTCAAAGACGAAGGAAGCTTCTAATGGAATGATGCCCTAAAAGCTTTATGGCAGATCGTATTTTCCCAAAATGGGTTAACAATTTTTTTTTTTTTTTAGTCCTATGTGCTATCACAGAGCCTCTCTAAGAGGTAGATTTGGTATTGCCACCCCCTGGGCCTGGGAAGATCTTGTGACCACTTTGTCTAATGTAGTATAAGGTGACAGTTTGTGATGGAACCCATGTTGTGAGGAAGCCCAGGCTACCTGGGAAATCTCTGTGAAGGTGTCCTCGTGGACATTCCCAGCCAACAGCTAGCATCAATCAAATATGAGAGTCTCCAGCTCCAGCCACCCTAACCACAGCCTAGAGATACTCCAGTGAGAACTGCCTTTCTGGGTCCAGTCAGATCAGGACATGAGAAACAATGATCATGGTCCTAATGAAGATTGTAGGCTGTTACTTAGCAATAAATACCTGGGGTGGGACTTAGACAAATGTCAAGTTGTTGCCTCTCTTTTTCTTCCCCAAATACAATGACCACAGCAGAGAATTTTTATGAGGACATATGATCTTATCTGATGATGAAAGTGCCACCAATGTCACAATCTATTTCACATGTCTTCAATTGGACCTTGGTTATCTCGTGCCTTACTAAGTCAACAGCCTCAAATCCCAGATCCACTCCTGAACTTAGCTGAAGCTCAGGGGCAGTTTGGGGGAATCAGGGCACCAAAGAAGAGAAAGGGAGTCAGAAAGTCCGTTGTCTTCTACTTCATTAAGAATTATCTGTCGGGGCTGGGGATGTGGCTCAAGCGGTAGCGCGCTCGCCTGGCATGCGTGCGGCCCGGGTTCAATCCTCAGCACCACATACAAACAAAGATGTTGTGTCTGCCGAGAACTAAAAAATAAATATTAAAATTCTCTCTCTCTCTTTCTCTCTCTCTCTCTTTTTTTAAAAAAGAATTATCTGTCAGTGTCTTCCACTCTTTTTTTGTTTTGTTTTGCAGTAAAAGGTTAAGTATTTATAGTATATGAAAGGCTAATGGAAATTGGTAAGAAAGTCAGCTGGAATACATAATTTGTAAATGGACACACACACAAACACACACACACACACACACACACACACACACACACACACCAAGTAAGACAAAAGAAAACCTTTCCAAAACAATGCTAAGCCAACCAATCAACAAAACAGAACCCCCCTAAAATCCACGAACAGACAGGTCACATGGAAGTAAATATAATTAAAAAAAAAAGATTTTGGAAAAAATTGGATCCTCCAAGAAATAAAGTATAAGTGGTTCCAAAATAAAAGAAGCATCTTCTAAATCAGCAAAACGAACCAAAAGATGAAATGGAAGTGAAGGTATTACTGGCACAGTGAACTCATAAAACCACAATAGAAGATAGTTAAGCACTGATAACAAATACCAATACCATGTTCATCTTTCCAGACTTGCWCTTTTGGGAACAGAACCTTAAAAGAATACTATATTTAAAAATAGTCTTAACATTTAACAGGCTTTGGTGGCTAAGTCAAAAATAGTAATAAAAGCAATAAATAAAATACTCAACAACATAAGAAATTAAATTAACTTAATTATAGCCACTTGATGGGATAGTATATGAGCATTTAAATGTTAATCTGAAGATTATGTGGCAATAGGAAATGCTTATAGTGTGGAAAGTGAGCAAAATGAATATAAAACTAACTACATGTTACCTTATAATCATTTAAGAATTGTATATAATTAAAGATGGATACTTTTTTTTTTAAAAAAGCCTAATCCATGAAGTAATAGGATTGTAGATTTTTTTCTATTTAAAATTTCTATCTCCCTCTGGAATATTATAATTTTATACAACTAACTTAAAAATCAGACTTTAGTTGCTTATTTAAAATGAGAATTCATGCTTATATTTCCTGATTGCTCAATACCTATGTGTGAAGATAGAGTTAATTAAGTCTGGATATTCCAAAGGCATAGGAATTCACTCAGGAAATAATCTTGTACTGAGGTATATTAAATTTTTAGCACCTCACTAGGTGGCGGAAGGATTACAAAGAAAACCAAGACAAGAAGGTAAGAATGGTAACAGGGGCACACATAGTCAAGAGGCTACACAGGAAGAAGTCACTGGCTCTGTCCTAGGTGGAGGTGTCACAGGGCTCATGATTTTTGAGTGAGGCCAGTAGGATGAGGAGATGTGGCCCAGGTTGGAGGTAGGTGTGGCCCCTGTAGTGGGAGCATGTGGTCACACCATAAAGGCCTGGAAGAGTGTGCTGTCGTTACAGAGTGACCAAGGTTGAACACAGTCACATTGCCATTGGGCACTCTGTACTTGGTGTACATTTCCTTGGGTGCAGAGTCAGGAGAAATTCCTTGTAAAACTTGGAAATGTTTCTATTTTGTGGTGAGACAGTGAACTTGTATATTTCTCCCAATGACTTCAGGTTATCAGAAAATGACCCCTCAGTGTGATCACATGTGAGATAGATAAAGACTTATAGTATACTTTGCACAGCTACTCTTATCACACCAATTCACAGAAAACCTTAAATACTTGAAAGCAATGGGTTAAGATAAGTATTTAAAAGCTTGGATACTTATCTGAAGGTTATCTGACCTTCCCTAAGTAGGATTTTTCACAAGAAATAAGCACTTTCTCAAATTTCTAAATTCCTTTTCTCTCTCTGTCCAGATGAACTGCAAATGCAACTCCCCATTCAACAAAATCTGGCTGCCTTTCCTATGTGATCATCTCCACGGAGGGCACAGGAGTTAACACATGAAAGGYGCAGATCTTCTCGAGAGGCTGGGTTCCAGATGGTTCTAGTCTAATTTTTATATCATACAATCAGAACACATGAACTTTCATGGATTTTTGTGCCATAGGTCAAGGTATTTCCTTCTGCTTTGAATGCACTGTATTATTTAATCATTTGATGTATTGTTGATTTGATTATTGCCTAGTGTTCAAACTGAACCTCTTGTAGATAACAGCATATGACACCTTCTCAGTTTGCTGAACACTCTTAGCTCCTCTGATCTGGCAAGACAGGCCTAAAGGTTAATTTTTGCCTATGAAATGGCATAAAATGAGCTTCTGTGTCCCCTGCATTTTGTCACAACAGGTTTGTTGCAATCACCATGACAGGACCATCTCATGGATTTTTGGCGCATTTGTGTCTAATAAAACTAGCGTATCACAAGATCTTCCTTGTAATATGCTTTGTTTCTGTGGGGATGACTGTGGAGAAATGTGCTGCCAATGAAAATCTTTTCATTAATGATTTAAACACTCAGCTACTGAAGAGGAAAAATAGAAAGCAAATGTCTTCCCAATGTTCAAGCAATAAAAGAATATTCTGATGCTGTGAGAAGTTGTTCAACTAGTTTTTGCCTCCACGTGGCTTTTTTTTTTGTACTGGGGATTGAMTCCAGGGGTGCTCAACCACTGAGCCACATCCCCAACCCTTTTTAATATTTTGTTTAGACACAAAATATGGCTGAGTTGCTTAATGCCTTGCTAAATTGCCTTGAACTCACAATTCTCTAGCTTTAGCCTTCTGAACCTCAGATTACAGGTGTGTACCATCATGCCTGGCCTCCGCGTGTGTGTGTGTGTGTGTGTGTGTGTGTGTGTGTGTTTTAAAATATGTTTTTAGTTGTGGATGGACACAATATTTTTATTTTTATGTGGTGCTGAGGATTGAACCCAGTGCCTCACACATGCTATGCAAGCGCTCTAACACTGGGGTTGAGCCACAACCCCAACCCCTCCATGTGTTTTTTTAAAATATTTTTTTTTTAGTTGTAGATGGACTCAATATCTCTATTTTTATTTTTTTATTTTTATGTGGTGCTGAGGATCGAACCCAGGGCCCTCCATGTGTTTTTAATGGCACCAAATGGTCTAATTCCCCCTCTGGCTGATACAATTAAGTTTTGAAGTCATATGATGTCAATAGATATCACCCTCCCTTCTTTTTAAATGTTTTTTTCCCAGTCATTCTCAGTTTTCTCTTTACCTTAATACTTACACATAAACACAATGCATATGGATGCCATTTGCAACTGAAGTTACCCTGCAGCTTACATCCCTGGCAACTAACAGTATCCTGAAGCCATCAGCCTGGCCTCAAAGAACAAGAGGTTAGAGAGGATGCTCTATACTCACTTAGGTATGGCAATACATGGTCTAGGGTTTCATTTGCACAYCAAAACCAAAATGACATCAATAGTGAGGGTTTAGTTTTTAAACAAAATAATTCTCAAAAATTCTTTTATTTTGTAAAGACAGGTTCTCACTATGTTGCCCAGGCTGACCTCAAACTCACACTTCTCCTGCCTCAGTCTCCAGAGTAGCTGGGATTATAGGAATGTAGGAGCACACCATCATGCCTGACTTCAAAACATTTTTTCAAACATTTCTTTTTCTAAGATGAAGGCATTTGAAGAATTATTATTTATGGGTGGGCATGTAGCAATTATGACAGCAGGGTAGAAATGTCAACAGTGATTTATGGGACARTTTTTCCTGCAGGCAGTTTTTAGTATTTTTTATGGAACCTATCCTTGGAATGTTCTAAACTGTTTTGAGTTCTGCCAAATATCTTGGAAGAATATTATGATGGATATGGACCAGTATGCCAGAAAAATGTGCATTTGTGTATAATTTTGCATACAATTTCTGGAGGGTTCATGAAATACTAATATCCTTGGTGAATACCCTGAAGAGAGGGTACTCTTGGTTAAGAACTTCTGTTTTAGGGCTGGGGTTGTGCCATAGAGCACTTGCCTAGCATGTACAACGCCCTCTGGTTCAATCCCTAGTATTACCAMAACAGACAGACACAAAACAAATAACAATGACAAAACCTATTTTCCAGCCTGAATCGGCGGAAGAAGTTTAAGGAATTCCCATCTTTAAAGGACACYGGAGCGTCACTTGTCTCTGCTACCAAATTCTAAATCTAGCTTGTCAAGTACCTGTTACAATGGGTTCTTTAAGGTACTTAATCACTTTCCAGTCTCCTCATTCTGAGCAAAGTGTTAGAGGAGTTTATTTGGCTGCCATTCTGCTTTCACTGAGGTTTATAGGAGCTCATTGCATACTGATCACCAACCGCCTGTTGAGCTGCTCCATCTGCTGGATGGACCCCGATCTCCGCATCCCGTCTGGGGTGGCTGCTGCTGTTGGACGCTGCCAGGTGGTGGTACGGTTCACATGGTCCACATAAAAGACCCGCCCATGGCTGTCAATTCGAGCTTCCCAGTCTAGTGTTTAATGAAAAGGCAAAAAGAAAAATCAAGGACAAACTACTGACCCACGTGAAGAGATAACTACTTCCCAGTCTTCTGAGGTAGAACTCACCATTGGTTGGTTGTAGAAGGCCAGACACTGCCCACAGCACCTGCCATGATTGATGGGGCAGTGGCACAGAATCAGGCCTTCTAGAAAAGAGCTTAACACACTCAGGTTCCCTGCTGGACCATTTTAGACAAATGGACCATTTTAAACAGTAATTGTGGTTCCCTGAATATGACCTATGCTAAAATTCTAATGATTTCTCAAGAGAAAGCCTATTTAATTAATTTATTTCTTAAAAAATCTTGTGGTTACCCAAGTGACAGTTGAAGAAGATTAGACATGTCCTCCAGTGACAGCTGACACTATGATGCTGGAGAACCCTTTCCTTGCTAGATATAACATAGGAGGACTAGCTTTAGTGACAAGTGCCAATGGCCTTTATTTTAAAACTAGTTTTAACTTTAGCTCTAAAATATTGTACCTGCAACTTTAGATAGCCTCTTCTAATACTTAACAAGTTTAACTGACTGCTATATCTATTGAGAGGGTGAATGGAAAGATTTGATACTAGAGTTTCAAAACATCCTTTTGCTAAGTTGTAAATTCACCCTGTATATTCAACCTACCTATGGTTACAAAACATATTTTTACCAAAACCAAACCAATGACAACTATGGACAAACAAGGCACTTGGAAAATTCCTCTTGTTGCTAAAAAGCCTTCCTGACCAGTAGAGGGAGCCCAAGATAAAGATAAATTTCTTTTGCTTCCCAAATAAAACAGAGGAAACCCCAAAATTAAAGGGCAGAAGCATCATGGTAGCCTACGTAATGCATGTAGGGGTTGAGGTGGGGTGATGTGCATGAAAATCCCTTAAAAGGGAAAGGGATGAAATTAATGTATTCATGTCTGAGCTCGACGTACAGGAGCAATGCACAGAAATGGGCAAAGTTTTTTGAGTCCACACATAAAAATGTGGTGGAAATAGCAGCAACATGATACATTTTGCTGAAAATGTATTAGCTAAAGAAAAAAGAAGCAAAAATGACTGCAAAGGGAGGGAAACCATTTAGCCTCTTAAGTGAGAAAAGCCCATAGCTTTTGGGAGTAGGTCAGATATTAACAATATTCTTGAAAACGTATCATTCAGGTAATGACATAGCAACTCTCAATTTTTAAATGGAAAAAATAGATTTGGCATATTTATGRCTTTATATGTACATGTCATATCTGTTAGGAAATATTATTGCATGTGCCTGACCTGAGGGATTGCCAATGATGCCTAATGAAATCCAAAATATCAGAAAACACCAAATTTAACTTATAAGGCAAATTGAAGGGAAAATTTAGATTGTAAAAATATGTTCTAAGAGGCTTTGACTACAATTGGCGATTAGTTAATCCAGCTGTCAACTGATGTAAATGTTCATTAGCTCTTTAACTAGTTGATGGAATTGTGTATATGCRTAATTGTGTTACTTAGTATGTAATCTCTCTCCAAACATTTTGAAATTTCAGTGGTTCCCAACYTAATATTAAAAAGCAACCGGACAGYTCTTTTTCTTGAATCCGATCTGTCATCTAACAAAGAATCAGCATTAATCTTTAAAACTCATGGCACTATTTAATTCAACTGAGCAAACTCCTTTTTAGCAGTGATTAGAAACCAGGAACTATGTCAGATCCTAGGACACAGAGCAGAATCACACAGGTCCCTGCCCTCCAGGAGCCCATGGTAAAGGAAGGACCACCACAGACAAAGCTGCAGTCTTACAAATTCTCTAAGGCAAAACAAAACAAAAGAACTAGAGAATGAAGCAGTGATAATGGCATTTTCTCACTGCACGTCTCAATATTTCCAAATCACTCATGAAAAAGGATGGAAAGCCAGAAAGACATGCTCTTTTGTCAATAGACTGAATACCTGGAATGTAGAGTGCTAGTTATATGTTATTACAAATATTCAGAAAATAATTAGCTAAGTGTTGTTAGACGTTACAAGTGTGTTTTTTTGTGTTGGTTTGTGAAGAATTTGCTTTCACATATTTTATAACAACAACAACAAAATCCTATGGAACTTCAGGCTTCATGATGACCTGAAGAACCCAGCACTGTGATGTCATGAGTTTGCTTAAATAGACATCTGAAAATTACTTCATTGTAAAGGCTTTCCTTTGACAATGCTGTGGCAAGTTACACTAGTGCAGGTGAGGTCAATTCATTTGTGATGGAAGGACCTGCTGAATATGTTTTCCATGAAGTTGAAGAACAATGTTAGCTTGATCATGAATTACCTTTAGTTATGCTAACAAAACATGTCAAATTTGGCATTTAAATATTTTTTTCCACAATTGAAATACTATGTTTATTGTCCAGACCTTTCTCTTGAGCCTCATAATTTTACAATCAATTGCCTTCTTGACATCACTACCTAAATCACACCTCAAATATGATCAAAACCAAGCTTCAGAACTTTTGTACCCAAATCTGTTCTGCCTGTAGCCTTCCTTTTCCATCTCAGTTGTACATAACTCTATCCTTCGAGGCTAAAATTCTTAAGTCATTTTTGAGTCCATCTTTCTTTCACTTCCACATCCAGTTTGTCATTAAATCTATCTTCAAAATATATTGTGTGGAATCTGACCTTCCTCACCACCTCCACTGCTCCCACCCTGGTCCAAGCCACCATCATTTCTCCTCGAGGTCACTGCAGTAATCTCAAGTTGCCTCTCATGCTTCTATCCTTCCTACTTATGATTATTCCCTATGAAGCAACCAGGGAAAACCTTTCAAAACCTAAGTCAGACAATGTTATTCTTTTGCTCAAAACCCTGCAATGTCCCCACTTCATTCAGATAAAAAAGCCAAAGCCCTCATGTGCTCTATGAAGCCCCATGTGACTTGGCCCTGCTGTCACCCTGACCTCAGGGCCTGCTGCTTTCTCTCTTCCTCAACCTGCTCAGGTGCACAGGTCACCTGTTAGTCAAACTCATCAGGGGCTCTATCTACAGCTTGGTAGTGGGTACTATGTTGGCTTGCAAAGCTCTTCCTTCCCAGCATTGACCTGGAAAAATCCTTTATCTCCTTCTGTGTTATCTTCTCAATGAAGTCTACCATGACCACTTGATCTAAAATTGCAAACCAGCCACCATCAAATATCATAAGTTCCTTACTCTGCACTATTTTTGCTTTTCGCTTAGCATTCACCACCAATCGAAATGCTACACTAATTCCTTATTTATTATTTTTTTGTTTATTGTCTAGCTCTCAAACTAGTCTGTTATGTGCGAGAGGGTGGAGATGTTTGTCCAGTTTGTGTACCTAAAATAGTACCTAGCACAGAGTAAGTATTTACAAGTATTTATTGAATGGATGAATACCAGGAATGAAGTAATCGATGTACTGTTAGAAATTATCTAAGAAAATTTAGTTGGTAGGATTCACTAACAAATTTTCTATTATTTTCCAATGTTACATCGATAAAAAATTGAAACTCATCTGGAAAAATTTGTTTTAATTATTGAAAGTGGCTTACATTAAGTACTTCTAAAATTAATTTGTAGCCAATTATTTATAATATCTGCACATACAACTACTTATTAATTGCTCTATCATTGCAAAGGAATATTTTACAATGGAATAGTTTTCAGGTGCCTGTTTAATCCACCATGCATTGGTAGATTATTTTTATGGGGGGAGTTTCCCTCCTGAAGAGAGCATGTTATAGATATTTTTTCAGATAATTTCTAAATAGAAGTATTTGTAGTAATGATGAATTTTTCCTATTTATTTATGGATTATTCATAAATCAGTTCCTGAATAAAGGAAGAAATCAAGCATCAAAAGTTAAAGGAGATARTGTTTGATTTGACCTTTGGAGAACAAATATGGTGCTTCTGTAAGTTAGTGCAAATATCAAAGATGTTCATTGTTTTCTCACTGATAAAATACAATTTGATGGGGGAAAAGTAGTGTTTGTACAAAATACATCACATTATCAAGAACAGATGAATGAAGAAATAGGTATGTCTCCTTTTGAAATGGGAATTGTTTCATGTAAGCACAGGCAAAAGAACTCAAAGAAACTAGGTATCTTGCATCCTGAAAAAATTTTGCAGTTGTAAAATCTATCAACTCTTAAAGGTTATCTTTGCATGAGAAAAAAAATCCTAAACCAAAATAGATAGGTTCTAGAATTCATGAATGTATAAAAATAAGTGAATTTATAATGTGTGGGGTGTCAGTTCCTTCTCATAAATTTATTAAATGGAGTGTTATAAGGTTAGAGCTGAAATGATATCTAGAGACTACCTCGTCCAAACTTAGCCTTCAGCAGATGAGGACATTAAAGCTTTATTTTACAAATAAAAGCCTGAGTATCAGAGATTAAGTGAATTTCCTAAGTTTAGATGACTAGTTAGATATTTATCAATTACACACTACAGTTATTAGGATAAAATTATATTCAAATTTATCCTAAAGATKATATTTTTATATCTGGCAACCCCTAAAAACCACAGAAGAAGTTGGGAGCTATTACCTATTGATGAAAGTTAAAGAATGAAAAATGAAAGTTCATGGGCCCTACAATTTGAAGTTTTTTTATTATATAGAAATACTTATGGATGAAACAGACATTATTATTACTGTATGCATATRTGTGAATGCATGACCAATGTGATTCTGCAACTTGTATACTCAGAAAAATGAGATATTGTATCCCATGTGATTCAAATGTATGTCAAGGTCATTGTACTGTCATGTGTAACTAATTAAAACAAATAAAAAAAGAGAAATAATTGTGGATAACAGATCCCATGGCATTGGTAAAACTATTCTATTTGGAACTGCAAAATTTTAATATAAAATAGTAAATTTGGGACTTAAGGGTTATGAACAATTTGCAAAGACTAGTTAGATCTTGTAAAAAAAATGTTCTTCATTTCAGGAACTGAGGGACATTGAAAACATTTGGTTATGTCTTCAAGATCATGTGCTGAAACAACTAGTAAAAAAAATAAATAGACAACAACAACAACAACAAAAATCCCCCAAAACCCAACCAGGTTTTCAGTAGATGCCATATTGTTTTTTGATGACAGTGTAAGGTATGGAGTTGGGGAAGAGTTTTGATGTTTACAAACAAATTCATACTGACCTGTTCAAACTTGAGAGGAAGAGTTAAGACATAGATTTTAAAAACTAGAGCTTACTTGGTGGAAGAGGCTCATCGATTGTTGGGTAGTGATGATGTTCAGGCCTCAAGGAAGGAAGCTGGCTTACTGGCTGGGAATTATGGAGTATAGGACATTCACCTATGGACAAGATAGTCAAGACATTCAGATTCATTCATTGCTCTGGTAATGTCATAAATGACTGTAAAACAAATTACAAGAAACAACAAATAGAGTGGGCAATCTATTTTTTGTCAGTTTGATACATTCACAGTCATTCGTGATAAAGGGAATTATTAAAAGAAGAAGAAGAAGAAGAAGAAGAAGAAGAAGAAGAAGAAGAAGAAGAAGAAGAAGAAGAAGAAGAAAAAGAAGAAGCAGCAGCAGAAGCAGAAGTTGTTATTGTCCAAACACCTCATGACTAATGATCTATAGACCAATATATAGGACTGGAATCTGATTTGTAACCTCTTGAATTTTCTTGATGGGAAGGTGGCATCAGAAAAGAACACAAAAGAAAATTATCAGAGCCTGATAATCCARTAAAGGAAACAGGCCTGTTTAAGGGAAGTATAGCATTTATAAAGTACCATTAAAAACTTGGTGGGCTTGTGCAAAATTATACCTTATCATATGGATCAGTATCATAAGAGGGCTGCTGAGAGGCTATTTTTAAGATTTTGGGGGTGGGGGGTGAGACTCTGAGATGGTGCCTTTCCAAGATGGGTCAAGTAGCTGATAGGTCAAGAATRTCAATTCCTGTAGTAGGGAAAATAGGGGATAAAGTGGCAAGCCCAAGGTTCTATGGGAATTCATGACTCTTCCAGATGATTTGGAGGTGGAATCAGATAAGTCATGGTGCTCTGAAAAAAGGAAAAGACAAGAGACAAAGGAAATAGATAAAAAGCAGGAAGACTGAAACAGGAAAGTTTGAAACACAGAAGTGGGATAGAAGGAAGAAGAAAGACAGAGAAATTTTAGAGATAAACACATCCACAGAATGCATGCCTCAGATTATTATAGACAAAGCTTATACTGTTGTCAGTTTCACATTTATAATGAACTGAACAATGTATAAGAACGGTGTTCCTGTTTTAGGATGTCCTTAGGTGTGTGGAGTGGCCATGTGGATGGAGGTCCATGGTATCAGCTGATTGCTCTTGATCAGGACACTAGTCAATCTCCATCAAACTCTACACTGGTTTCCTCCCCAGCATGCTCACACTCTTGTGACCAGAGGACAAGGTTCAGACCTTTTCCTTCCTCTGCCCTCCATATTGGATGCACATAGCAAGTGTCCTATTGATCTGTTGGATCCAAAGGGAGAGAAACTGAAAAATGTTGGTTGAGAGAAATTTTTGTGGGATCTCAAATGTTGAACATTTCTCAGAATGTCCATATGTGGAAAGACGATTATTTCTTCTCACTCTAATTCTACAGAGCCAATCAAAAATTTTTTAAAAATAAATTAATTAGGAAGGGAATTGGTGTTATTCTTAGAGGTAACTGGCAAACAAAAATAAAGATATATTCAGGAACAAAAGGCCCTTTTAAATGTTAAAAATATAACATTATTCCTAGTGCAAACTCTAATATATTACTCAAATCCTTTGATTCCTTGAAAATTCGAAAGGAAGTCAAGGAAGGTGCCCCTCATACTAGCACACAGCTCATTGTTTCAAACAGGGGTTCTGTGTTTAAGTGGATACTATTCTCATAGTTGGTTTTTTTTATGTGTTTAGTGTCAGAAATAAAAAATAAAACCCAATGGTATAGTTGTTATGTCATCAGCTGCTGTATTTTTCATTTAATTCCTTTTAAAAAAAACCAACAAACTTACCTCATTGTAATTGTAATTAATTCAACCAAACAGGTTAATTACTCCTCCAAGCTAGTGGAAATATAATATATTGTCACTTGCCTGAGGTTAATGGAGCTGACCCCACCTGCTTGTGAACCCCAAGCAAATGCAATGATGTGATTGACACATGTCAGCTGGTTGAATAGATGGAGTGCACAAAAGAAGCAAGCAGTTCTGTTCCGTACCAGGACCCAGCACAACATAATCACCCTGCCTCAAATACAAAGCGAGTGTTCAGACCTGGTCAAACATCAGAGGAGGAAACCTATTTCCCTGTTGACAATATATGAGGTCTTTTAAAATTCTCTTTTGTTTGTAAATAATGACTAAACTGTAGAAAAAAAGATGGGCTGCCCACCCCAAATATTATTTAAAACAAAGTGATTTCCACCTAATGATGTGAGAATTTTCCTAAAAACACATGGTTGCAAGAAATATAAGTTCAAAGGATTGTTTTGGATATTTTATTATATGACTTTTAAAAGTTAGCCTCACTGTTTATCTGCCCAGAAGAACTCTTGCTTGATGAGAGGCAAAGCCCTTTACAGTATCACCTCATTTAATTCTTCCGATAAACTTTGAGGTGAATTCTACAAGTATATCTGTTTGACATACAAGGAAACTGAGGCACACAGAGAGAGAGAGTGAGAGCAGTTAGGTCACTTTGTGAGGAAATGATAGGACTGAATATAAATCAAACCTCCAGGGCTTGAGCTCATGACCACAATGTTATCTTGCTTCTTTCATTCATCTGATGATAGCTTTTCAAAATTATTTTAAGTTGAGCCTTAAGAAAAGTTTTTTTTTTTTAAATAGAGGAACAAGAGCTAAAAATTAGATAAATAATACTAGTTCGTATAAGTGTAACTTCAGACTCACATCAAACTGATCAGCGTTCTAAAATGATGTCCCTCCCAGATTTGCCACCAACTCACTGATGTGGGCATGTGTTCTCTTAAGTCTACTTTGCTAATCAAATGTACTTTCTATAGTTTTCAAGCAGTCTTAGAAGTCATGGGGGCAATAGTGTKTTKTTTTTTTTTTTTTATTGAAGCCCTTTCTTTGAGCTCTGTGAAGCCCAGTGTAGAGTGAGGATAGACCCCCAAAGGAAATTTCCATCCCATTTTCTCTCCTCATGGGGACCTTTCCATATTGTGTGTGTCCTATGGCTTTTCTTGCCTCCCTGTGTTTCCCCCCCCCCAACAATTTTCTTGTTCTCCTTATCAATTTGTGGCACTTTTCCTCACTATCTCCTTCTCTAAAATGTAGAATTGGGCACTGATGAATACTTAAGATTATTTTTATGCTCATTTTAGTTCCTTTTCAAAAAATTTGTAGGCACCAGGCATTGTTTAGAGGCTGAGGATTTAAACATAGAGAAGACATTTCTGGCCCTTGATGAGCTTACAATCTAGAGTGAATACCACCACCTTATTTGGAGGCTAATTTAAACAGCAGAACAGCAAAATAACAAAATCTATATTTGGCTCTTTTAAAATAACTAAATTATTTCATATTATTATGTGACTTCTCAATTCCTCCCCACCCCCATGCCACTATCACTTGACTGGAAGATGGTTCACAGTCCTGGGTAAGGAAATGCAAATTAATATTTGATGCCACAGGCATGAGTAAGAAGGAACGTCTTTGGTTAAAACATAGAATACATTTTTAAAACTAAAAGTGGCAACTCCTGGATTAAAATCTTATTTGAGACAAAGTGATTTACACATTCACATTATTTTTCGCTTCAATTAACCAAAGTAGCCAACAATGACAGCAACAAAACTAACAAAACCAACAAAACCAACAATTATGACAAGAATTGAGCAGACAGAAATAATGACAAACATATATAGATTATCCATATACACGGGACTAGTTAAATTCTAAAACAGAGATAAAATCTGTATTCTTCAACTAAAATTAACATTACTGCTAATCTTCAGTGTGTTTTAGGAAGCCATCATTTACTTTAGACATTATTCACTGTCACCTGTTATTAGCCTTGGCACTTTGTGTTGATGTCAAGACTAGAAAGATAACTTACACCAATCCGTTCTGGTGATTAGTTAAAACAGAAGCACACAAACAAGTGCACGCTCACATTCACCTAGTTGTATTTCTTGGTGTGTATCTGAGACATGGTGGACCGTCAGCTATTGGTAGGCACTTATGCTCATACACCTCTGCACATACACACATATAAATACTAGACAGACATACATTGCCCCAGCAACCCTATTTGGGACTGGTGCCTCCTCTCTTGTTTTTAAAAACCGTATGGATGAGACCTGTGCCCCTGGTGGTCCTATTCTTACTCTGATCAGGTTTGAGGTCTAACCTTCTCTCCGATTGCTTGGACCTGCCATGGGGGACTCCAGACCTTCAGCGGTTCTTGTCACGTTCCCACCAGGGGCAGCCAGCTCGTCCTGCCATGGCCCAGCACCATTGGTCGACTCCGGGTCCAGCTCCGGGCTCTGTACAGAGTCAGGCACCGACTCGAACGCGCTGTTCTCCTCTTCCTCGTCGTCTTGCGACGAGAAGACGGTGCTCTCGGAGATCTTGGCGCTGTCCACGGAGGAGAAGCGCGTGTGGCTGGCGAACCGGTTGTTGCCGTTGTAGCAGGAGGGGCTGTAGCAGGAGGCGCTGTAGCAGGAGCTGCTGTAGCAGGACGTGCTGTAGCACGAGGAGCTGTAGCAGGAGGGGCTGCAGCACGACGCGTCACAGCCCTCGCAGCTGTGGTCCCCGCCTTGCCGGGGGCTGGAGTCGCTCTCACTCCCAGTGCTGGGATGCGTGTCACCTTCAGGACCCGCGCCATTTGTCAAACTACGGAAGTGGCCCCCAAGGTGGCCAGGGGGTGCCATACCCGGAGTGGCACCCTCGAACTCTTCTCCATCCTCTTCCAGGGCCGGCGGATCGGCCGCTACCGTGTCCACCTCGCTGAACCCATCCTTCTCGGAGGAATCCTTGAGGGTTGACTCCTCTTCCGCCCCGTCCTCTTCCTCTGCTGCGCTCCCACTCTGGGCCGACGGCATGCTGTGGAGCAGGTTATGGATGCGAATGTAGTGTGTCCGCGGGGTCTCGGGGTCCCCGCAGGCCGACGCGATCACCGTCTCCAGCTCGGACACAGGCAAAGAGCATGGTCTGCTTTTTCTCTTCACCGAGGCTCGCAGCTGCAGTCTGCCCTCTCCCTGCTCCAGGGTAGGCACATCCCCCTCCTCATCCTCTTCACCCTGGCCTTTCTCTTCCTCCTCCCCCCTGGCCCGGCTCTCTGGTGCTGCCTCCTCCTCCACGGGTTCATTCTTGTTGGCTGAAGCCTCACCATCTTCCAGAAGTAGCGATGGTGGTACCTGTTCATCCMGGTCGAGCCTCTCGGCTAGTTCTTCTGCACTCAGGGCAGACTCGGGGTCCTGTTGTCCTAGGGCCAGAAGCTCCCCAACCCCTTCAGGTCCCTCAGAGATCCTGCCATCATCTCCTGCCTCAGTGGCACCTGCCCCTTCCTCAACTGGCCTGGCATGCTCCAGGCTCTGGTGTCCTGAACTGTCCACTGCAGTGTCCTCGTTGGTTGGCTCTAGCCTCAAGCTCTCACAGGGCTCTGGAGCATCATTTGGAGGCTCCACACAGTTGCTTTCAACCAGGTTGTTCATGAGGCTGTCCTGAATTTCTGCTGACTCATGCTCAGTACTCAGGGAAATCTCCTCATCATCTGCGGCAAGAAGAAAAATGTCATTCTTTCCAGAAAAGAGCATTGTGGTGTTAGTATATTGTGCAACACATGTAAGTCTTATGCTAAGGGATTTCTACATTAGGATATTGAATGTAGGGGTTGGTGAGGGTTTCTCAATGGCCAGAGCTCTGCTGAAAAATTCTATTAAGAATGAGTTCTAATTATGTTCATGACAATTTGCAATTGTGGATATATTTTAGAATTCTGTTTCAAGGAATTTAATTAACAAATTAATTGATTTTTGATTAATATACCCAACACTACCCCAGTTCTGGGCACATAGTAGGTGCTCAAAAATGTTTGCTACTTGGAATGATTTCTAGAAATGGGGATAGTGGTGGTGTTTGTAGTTCCTTGTTGATCCCTGGCAAAGTTAATTGCACTAGTTTGTTAATGTTTCCTATGGATGGGTCCTGTGGGGTGCCAGAATGGATAAGCTAAGTTCTTAGGCAACTAGAGAGAATAGGGCTGGATGACAGATGGGAGCAATCACATCATTTGACTTTTACTGCAGTAGAAAAATAAACAAGATCTCCATATCAAGCAGCCATTCCAAGAGTAGCAACTATTATGATTTGGTCTACCTACTGTTTTTGTATGTTTAACTACCTTTCCCAGCTGCTCCATTGGGTCCCTAAAAGATGTGAATATTTCTACTTCAAATGAACTAGTGCAGATCACTAGTTGAAAGACAACAATCTTTCTGTTGAGGTAAAGCTATCTTTATGGCTTCAGTAAAGGAAGAGTCATTTTTATTCTCAGAGTCGAAAAGGCTGAATTTGACAGGATAAAATAGTCAAGGTGTTTTTTTTATAATCTGAGTTGTATATTGGGCATATAGAAAAGTGCAATTCAAACAAATTAAAAAAGAAAAGTGCAACCTGATTTAGTGAGTGAATAGTGACAAACTCCAGATTCAGGCTTCATTAGTTTCAATAGCAACTCATTATTGTGGTCTAAGTAATTTCTTAGTGTAATTTTCACATTGTATGGGAGATATGAGGAAAGAGCAAAAGTGAAATTCTGAAGCATCTAACTATTCKTATTTAGAAATATGTTTTGGAATTAAAAAATCGAACACTTGATGTTTCTAAATTCTTCTGTTTATATTTTTTATTTTCCCTGTGATATTATGAAAGTCAGTTATATAATCATAGTTCTTCAACAATAAAGCATACTTCAGCTACTGGCCAGTCAATATATAGTTACTAGGTAGAAAGATATGTTTTACCTTTATTCATCCACTCACTCGTATCAATTTCTAAACATCTCTTAAGCACGACCTACGTGGGTGCTGACAGTAAAATAACAAGGAATGGCTCCATATTCATGTTGGCCACATTGTTAACCCCCATTCCGCTGTGTAACCCTCTACCTTTGGGTCACCAGAATGAAGAGGAGCCTCTCAACCAAAGGGACAGCAACCTGGCTTCCAGAAGAGATCACTGGGTTCTGGGCCTCAAATGGAGAGGATAGAGAACCACAAAACCTAGGACATGTCTGGAAAGAACCATGGTTATTGTGTTTTAGAGAAAGGAACCACACTAGGACACTAGCCTAGGACAAGACATGAAGTTCATGCTGAAAATACCTGGGTGGATGGAGGAAGTGATCTCAAATCGGAATTGCAGCTGTCCACTCACATGATCTGTTGGAAGCCTGCGGCCAAGTGTGTAGCTGACCACTCTATCCCTAGAAGGAAATAAGCACCATCACAGAGCTGGTCAATACTCTCTTCTTAAAGACCATATGGTGTGCTTTCTGTGCCAGCAAGTGAGATGGCAAGCCCACAGAAGCCCTCACGAGTGGAGGTGATCTATTCGTCCAGATACATAGAGATGATCCTAAAGTAAAATTGGGAACCCACATATGCTCAACTGCAAGGAAATTCTGCTCAAATATTCTGAAGCAGAAGTTAGCAAATTACAGTCTATGATTTGGTCTACCTACTGCTTTTGTATGGCTGTGACTTTTAATATTTTTAAATGGTCGGGGAAAAAACTAAAGAAAATTACTATTTTGTGGCATGTGAAAATTATATGAAATACAAATTTAAGTGTCCATAAAAAAGGCTTTTTTTCCTCCTTTTGATACCAGGAATTCAACCCAGGGATATTTAACTACTGGACTACATCCTCAGCCCTCTTATGTTTTATTTTGAGACAAGGTCTGGCTACTTTGCTTAGGTCCTTGCTAAGTTACTGAGGCTGGGTTTGAATTTGCAATCCTCCTGCCTCAGCCTCCTGAGTCACTGGGATGGGTCACAGTGGCAGGCATGTGCCGCTTCTGTTCCAATAAAACCATAAATAAAGTTTTATTGGAACAGAATCATGCTTATTAGCTTACATATTGTCTGTGGCTATTTTCATGTTAAAGAGGAAGAGTTAAGCAATTTAGACAGAGACTAGGTGGTCTGCAAAACTTAAAAATATTTACTACTTAGCCCTTTGCAGGAAAAGTTTTCCAACTTGTTTTCTAGAGTAGAGGAGAGAGAAAGGAGAAGAGGGAGAAGGAGAAGGAGAAGGAGAGGGAGAGGGAGAGGGAGAGGGAGAGAGAGAGNAGGGAGAGGGAGAGGGAGAGGGAGAGAGAGAGGGAGAGAGAGAGAGAGAGAGAGAGAGAGAGAGAGAGAGAGAGAGAGGGAGAGAGAGAGAGAAGACAAAAAGACATGGGTGTCCTTTGCTTGCTTTTACTGTTCAGCATTTTACAATATATCCTTAATAATGGCTAGTACCAGAACATGCATGTTTTGGAGTTATATGTAATATATAAGAGAGGATGTCATCATGGTTATGGAACAGTCCATGGTAAGTCACATGCTACTGGATGGAGCAGAACAAGACTTGAGAGCTGKATTCCCTATCTTGTGACTTCCAGTTACACCAATTATAGGGCCCTTACATAGAAAGACTTGAGGCTCCAACCTGGACTCAGGTCCCATCCTATCTACCCACTCAAAGCAATTTCTTAATTACTAAAATGGAGGCTATTCAGGGGAACCAACCTGAAGCTTTGCTGTTATATTTCCATTAACAATTTTGCTTTAGCAGAGTAAATTGCCTCCATCTTGGTGGAAATAGGAATAATGACTAGCTTTTAGTATTCCAGGAATTAACAAATGCAGTGTGCCCAATGATAATAAAGGCATGTTCCCAAACCAATTGTTATTCAATATTCATTCTGTTTATTAATTTGTGATATTCATATAAAAGGATAAATCATGGACTGGTAGTGTTTCAGTGTTTCCTTCTAAAAACACTGACATTATGAAACAAACAAAATATATTCCAATTATCCACTAACTTAATATTATCTTTAATTAGCTATGGTTTAATGTCTAGTGTCAGAAATCCATTTAAGTAAAGCATTATATGTAGGAAAAATAGGATAAGCCACAAAATTTTGTCTATTTAGAGAGAGCCTTGGTGAAGTAGACTTTGACCATAAGAAAGAAATTTTCAACCCAAAACTCAAGTTGAAATCAGAGGAGACCTAAAGATAATCATAGAAATTATTTTTTAATGCTTTGCATTCATTTTCTAAGCTTTTTTCCCTTTTATTTTCTAACACTCAATCAACAAATATTTTTTGAGTCCCTGCCATGTACAAAGTGCTGAAGTTGACACAAAGAAGGTACTAGATAGTCTCTGTTTTAAAATAGCTTATATCCAGTGTGTGTGAGGGGCATGACTAAAAATGGCTCAAGGTGACACTTCTAAAATGAAGATAAGATGGTCAAGATTAGAGGTCAAGAGCCAGCTGAAGGCTAGCATGTTGCAGGTAAAGGAAAGGAGGGAGGGTGGGAAATGTGTGTGTGTGTGTGTGTGTGTGTGTGTGTGTGTGTGTGTGTCATGCTCATGCCTAAAATGGAAAGGCTCAAATACAGCAGTGCAGGTAGAGAAAGCATTTTCTAAAGCAATGGATTCAGGAGACTTTTTGGGCAGAGTATTTTCTGAGGGCAGAGGGGAGCTGTGGTGGGAGGTGGATTTGCTTCTGCTAYGTGTGTGCTCTGGGTTCTGCCATGGTCCAGGCCAAATGACTACTGCTTTCATGGCCATCACTCCAATGCCCTGTTCCTGCCTACATTGGGACATCTCCAGCATTGGCAGCACGGTGAGGTGGCCTCAAGGGGCAGTGGGAAGTGGCAGGTCTTGGAGGAAAAGCTGCTTTCCCTGGCCACCAGGGGCGTGGTGTGTTATCCCATCAGAATTGGGGAGAAGAGAGCACCTCCATGGCTTGCTTCCTTTTAGAGAGGGATTAAGCTCAGTTACACGCATCTGTGCTTCTCCTTTTCCCTATTTGATAAGGACACTAGGAAAATGGAACTAACTTTGCTCAGGGGAGACCCTTTTCTTGTTTTCACCACTTGGTACCTTTCCATAGTAGGAGGCTGGGAGAGGGGCATGACAAGAAGAAATGAGCCACACTCTGACTTATGAAAAGTACTCAACATGGAAGAGCAGGTAGGTTCCCTCTGCACCTGTAGTGGTAGGTTCAGTTCAACAGGTRCTAACTGAATATCTAATACATGGTAGGCAGCAATGTGCTCAGTGCTCTGGTTGAAAGACCCCTACTCAGCTCCTCTGTTTGTCCTTCATCCTGCCCCTGGCATAGTGATAACAGGGTGAGAGCAGACAGTAGACCAGAGAAGGAAAGAAATGAAAAGTGTGACCAATGATAAACTGAATCAGTCCCAGGAATCCTGCAAGGAGCCTTTTGTCGGGGGCTGGGCATACTTGGTTTTTGGAGAGAGGCACGTGTGTGTTTGACCCTGGCTGCATCTCTGCCACTCACTAGCCATATGCTTAGGTAATTAGTTATCTGTTCTAAGCCTCATTTCTTCACATTGGAGGAACAGTGATAATGCCCAAGTCACAGAAGTGTTCTGAGGATTAAATGGAATAATGAAGAGCACAAGGAATACCATTCCCTTTTGAGTTCCTACTATGTGCCAGTGACTGTGTTAGGTTCTTTACGTAGACTTTTTGTTTGCATGATCCTYGCAACCATGAAGTGCAAACACTGCTGGGCGGGCTCTGTAAAGTCAAATCCCTTCGGTTTGTGAGGCAGTGGCATGTCTCTGTACACACAGCCGCACATGTGCTAGAAGGTTTCAATTAAATATCCTTCTGGTAATAATTAGTGGTGCCAAAGTCTTTCTGAAAATCAAAAGAACTTTAAATTAAGACAGGTGACTATTCTGCATAATTTTTCTCATCCTTTGATACTATTGTGAGGGTTATATTGTATGAAAGCATATGTTTATAGCCAGAGTTATACTTAGTTGCTGTTACCCAAGGAAATACATATTATACATACATATTATACATATTATACATTTGGCCATAGTTCACTTTAGTAAGAACTATGAGTGGACACAAGAGTAAAAGGTCCAAAACTCAGAGACATTCTCATATACAATTTGATTTTGCAAACAACATAATTGCTGGTATTCCATGAGAATGCATGTTTTCAAAATTTCATCTGTTCTATCTAGCATTTTCTGTAAACACTAGCATCTCTTGAGAAACTCTGTCCAAGTAATTTTGCATTTCACCTTGCTATGGAAATRTCACATATGATTAAATCCTACATACAAGAGAGTAAATAAGTGAAATGATATTCTTTATAGTAAAACAAACTTCCATTTCTACCTTTATAGAAAAGTGCTTCATTGATGGTTTATTTTAGTTATTACCTTAGACTTCTGTATTGTCTTGCACATATAACCAGTCACACACAAATAAAGGAAAGGGAAGGATTTGTTTAATTGAATGTTGTGGCTAAGGCATTAAAATTAAGGGGAGAGGCCAAGGAAACATAACTCTGTTATAATTTAACTCTCCATAAGACTCTATTATTGCAGCTTACAGGTGTTGTGGGGCATGGCCTACTGGCTGAAGCCTAGTGATATGAGATCCCAGTCACAGGTTTACCCTATGGCGTGTCTCTCCAGGAGTCTCTGGACAGGCATCGACAGCTTTCCCAAAAAGCGCTTGATGATGGGGCGGCTCTTGGCAAACTTGTCTTTCACCTCAATTTCCAGCACATCAGTGGGCAAGGACACAAAACTGAATTGCTGCAATGAAAGAATATGTCACATCAATTAACTGAGAGGTTCAAGGGCTGGCCAGTTCCCAGTCCATCTGCCTTGAGGACGTCATTGTAAAAAGCCCCAGCTGCAATATTTATATCAAGGTCTTAGAAACGCTGTGAGCTCTGCTTATTCAGTAAATGAGGGGTGACAATGAGATGCTCCCTCAAGGCTTCAAAATGGGGTTATTCTTTAAGATCCAAATAAATACAATCAGCACAAATGAACGAGAAAGAATGCTACCCAGGTCTCACCCTACTTGACCAAAGCCATTATCATATATGAAGAAAGAACAAGCACAAACCCACCTATAATTAAGGACATGGGCTTTTAATCAACAAAGTCATGTTGTATTTCATGAGTATAATGTCAGAGATTTTTTTTGACAAGTTTCATGAAGCCTCATCCTTGAGAGTGGGAAAAGACAAGAACTTTCATTCTGTGTTGGCAGGGATGTAAATTGATTTGATCTTTGGGAAGGGAATTACAGATATTTATTGGTATTCTTAAACTACAAATCCCTTCGACCCATAATTTAAATTCTGGGATTTTCCTTCTGAATGAACTCACACAAGTATGCAAAAAAGATATATTTTATAAGGCTGTTCATTGGAGCATTACTAACAATAGCAAAAGACTGGAAAAGCAAAACCAAAATGAAATAACAATAAAAAAAGTTCCAAAACTGTATATCATTAGGAAGCTAGGTAAATAAAGGATCGTAAATATTTGAAACAGAGAACTCCACTGTCATTAAAAAGAAACAGGTAGATCCCCATGCACTGACTAAATGAAAAAAGCAGAGCACAGAGGAATATGAAGAGTGGGATTCCATTTGTACTTAGAACCACAGGGAAAATACCTGGAGGTTATCCTCCGAACTTCGAACTTGTTAGGAGCACACTGGTAGGAAGGAGAGGAAGCTGGTCTTTTCCATTTTATTTCATTCAATTCTAAATTGTTCATTTGTTAATTAGCATATGGTGTGGCTTAAAATGAAAGCATCAAAGAAAGACTGTGACCATCAGAAGTTGGCTTGATCATCAATAAAGGTGCAGAAAGGAGACTCGGAAGTGAACATTGACATTGCCCAGCCTGGACTATCTTATCTGGGAGGAGAAAGTCATAATTCACCTTAAACCTTACTGTTCACTTAATCAAAGGCTGTGAAACAGTTGAAAAATAGAATTTGTTTCTTTTATTCTGATTAATTCCTGATAGCAAATATTTTAACTTCAGTTGATTTCTCTTTACAGAGATAAAATATGTTGGGCATGCTAATGTTAATATCTCMTCTGTTGCAGTCAGGATGGGCTGGGGCATGGTGTAGTAACAATCAAATTCCAAATCTTTGTGACTTACAATGATAACATTGGATTCCTTGTTCTCATGTTCATTGTGGGATGTTGGAGCAGCCACCCTCTCAAACATTACCAGTCTCTGAGAGGTGAAGAAAACTCAAGAGAGTTTCCTCTTGCAAATCAATATTCACTTCCAAACACAATTCCTCATCAGAACTGGACACATGCCCCATTCAACCTCAGGAAGCAGGAAGAACAATTCTACAGTGTATCTGGGAGGTTTATAAAGAGCAGAAATATTTGGCAAATAGTACTAATGACTTCCATACTCTCCATGTGGTACTTCTACTTTCTTTATCTATATCTTTATATGTATACATAAAATTATAGATATTTACGGGGCACCAAATGATGTTTCACTAAATGTATACGTTTCGTAATGTTCAAATAAGGGGCTAAGTATATAGCCTAAATATTTATATATTTATCATTTGTTGTGAATACACACAGTACCTTTTCTTCTAGCTTTTCTGAAATACACATTATCATTATCTGTAGTTACTCTACTGCACAACAGAATACCAGAGCTTATTTCTCCTATTTAACTTCGATTTAGTACCCAAGTATCAACCTTTCTCCATCTTTCCCTCCTTTATTCTCCTTAGTCTCTGGTAACCCTCTTTTCTCAAATTACATGATGAAATGAAATTTTTAATAGCTAAAAACTTTTAAAACTTTTTAAAGATTTCATAATGGTGAGATCATAACGTATGTGCCTGACTTCTGGTATTTCTAATTACATTTATAAATTAGTTTCAATTAACTACAWCATAATTTGTAAGAATTAATCATGCCTGGTACTGAAAAAACTGAATTTTGGGATGCCAAGCATGAGGTTCAAGTTCAGAAACAGGTACTACTCTAAGAAGGTCTGYGTAAGTGAGATTTCAGTTGCCCCAACTGTCTGAGGTCCTCAAAAATTCTAAAGTCCAGTTACTCCATTGTGGAGTGTATTATAGTAGATCATCTGAACTAAATGCTCAACAAAAAGGTTAGAAACAAGCTGGATGTGGTGGCACACACCTGTAATCCCAGTGGCTCAGGAGGCAGAGGCAGGAGGATCACAAGTTCAAAGCCAGCCTCAGAAAAAATGAGGTGCTAAGCAACTCAGTGAGACCCTGTCTCTAAATAAAATACAAAATAGGGCTGAGGATGTAACTCAGTGGCAGAGTGCCCCTGAATTCAACCCCTGGTACCTCCCCCCCCAAATTAGAAACACTATAGTGTATGCATCTGATAGAACTGTTTCTAGTTAGCATAATTTAAATTATAATTTTTATATAATTATGTACAATTACAATATAATTAACACATATTAAATGCTAATAAGATAGGAAATGCTTGTTATATAATGTTATGTGACAAAAGCAGGACAAATAATTACATATCATTCATGATCATAATACCATAATGTTTATAATATGATAGAAAAATGCCTGGAAATAGTTACAATAAATTTTAATAGCAGTTGTTTGACCAAACAAGAACACTTTTCCCCCATTTCCTTTTTATATTTTCTATGCTTTCTGTAGTATCTATTAATGAAAAACTTAATAGCCTTTATTGAAATGAGATACACCTATGGTATCCTGCATGGGACACTGAAGTGAACTTATCACAATATATTCTAGAACTCAGTGGCAACTCCTGGGTTATTTCCTCTTTCCACACAACTTCTTTCTTAATCCCCCTTCCCTTGTCCATTCTTCATCCCAAACTTCAACCTCTCCCCACCAGGCCCTTATCTCCATGCCATGGTCATTGGAGTTCACATGCCTCAGATCCCTAGGCCAGGCTCTGCTAAGGACTGGAGAGCAGCTATCTATTCAGGACAGGCTAGTTGAGCCTAAGGCGAGGGAATGAATTTTGCCTGGATGCAACAGCTGATCTGGCTTTTACTTCAAGTCTCTGAAAAACCTTAAGAATAAGATAAACTTGGCTTTTATTCCTAGATCTGCACATAAAAATTCCTGAYTCTATCAATCACAGCCTCTTCAAACCTTAGCATCCTCGTCTGTAGAATGGGAAAATAAGGCCCATGCCATGTTAAATAAAGTGGGTATTTCCCTTTCCATTCCTTTTTTCTCAGACAGACTCTATCTACCCCATCCTCTGCCATCTCCTCCTTTTGCATCTCCCATTGTTGGACTTCCTTCAATTTTACTAATTTCAATTGTCCCTTAATGACCAGTGATTGTATACAGGTGTCTGTAGTAATCCATAGGCCTGTTTCAAATGTTCAATGTCCAGACATTGTTTGTAAATTGATAAATATGTGTACTAAGCCCCCAAATTAGACAATCAACACAACTTTAGTAATCCACCGCATGAAGAATGAGACTCTATTTGCATAGAATTGAATGTTGTGTAATAGCATAGTCACTGCATAAATACCTATGTCCTCATTGTACATCATTTATAATCCCAAGAAGGTACTTCAAAATGTCTTAGAATTGTTTTCAATTTAGGGGAAATAACAGATTATTCCACTAAATTCTAAAATCATATGTTGACAAGGGCCTGGTTTACCAGGTTAGATTCCCAAAACAATTCCACATTTTATTAGGAGACTGCAAGATCTTTTCCTTATGGGTAAATGTAAGCTATTGACATTATCATTACCACCTTTCTCTTACCCAAAAACATGAAAAGGTTGGAAAATAAGTATATTTTTACTTATCACCAATATAACTGCTGACTTATTTTTTAATATTGAAAGAGCATTTTAAGAGACTCTGAAAAAGCATAGAAACTAAGAATTGGAAATTTTAAGAGAACCTAAATTTTAAAATGAAATTTTCACACAGATGTTTTCTCTTTACASAAAACTTACCAAACAAGTTACATGTGAATGTCCTGCTTAAATTTTWAAAAGTCAGCTACTTTTCATTCAAAAGAAGTGGAAAATTATCTAAGATCTGAGATATAGGGGTAAATGATGAGCTATACATATCTAATTCAAATTACTTTAAAACCCAAATATAAAGCAATTTTTTTTCTTATAAAAATAGATATTCATTATTCCCTTTCCCAARATTAATTATGTTAAAGAGAAGAAATACATATGGACTAAGACATTGTCTTCCTTAATATTATGCAAAAGAAAATAAATTCCATGTTTATCAAGTTTTTAGAGTTATATAATAATAGCTCTATCTCTATCTATCCATATTTCTATTTTTGTGGACAGATCAACTAATTGAAATAAATTAACACRATCATTTATATTGGCTGTTACATACTGGGCAGAAGTTATGTGGACAAGGATGCCCACTCTTACCTCTCCTATTTAATATAGTGCTAGAATTCTATCCAGAGCAATTAGGCAAGAGAAGGAAATAAAAGGGAAGAAAATAGGAAAGGAAGAAGTCAAATTATTACTGTTTGCAGATGATAAGATCTTTTACTTAGAAGTCCAAAAAACTCTACCAAAAGACTGCTAGAGCTAACAAACAAATTTGGCAAAGTAGCAGGTTATAAAATCAACATACAAAATCAATAGCTTTCTCATATACCAACAATGAATTTGCTGAGAAAGAAATTAGGAAAACAAACCACTCATAGTAACCTCAAAGAAAAATAAAATACCTAGGAATAGATCTAATCAAGGAGATGGAAGTCTTC